AAATCACACCCAAATTATTTTGAAATTAGAAAAATGGACAATAGAAATGAGGAAAGAACAAAGAAAGCTGCTATATAAGATAGAGGATCAAGAAAAATAGGGATAAGAGATGTAATCTAAGGATACGAGGAGTACCAGAGATTTCACAAGGGGAAGACCTAAGGGGACCAACATGTAAAATATTAAATACTATAATGGATAGATCTGCCTCAGAGATTTTTAAATTGGATGGTGTTTGCAGAATAGGAAAATTCCAACAAGAAAGGGGTAAAGAAAAAATGAGAGATATAATTGTGCAATTCCATAATTATGGGGACAAAGAAGAGATACGGAAGAAAATCAAAGGAAGAACGAGCACTAAGTATGGAGAAATAAACATTCAGATTTTTGCAGATTTAGCGGTTGGGAAAATACTGAGAAGGAGATCTTTGATGCCATTATTAGAAAAGATGAAAAAACAAAATGTGCAATATAGATGGGGCTTCTCGGTGTGTTTAATCGGATGGAAAAATGGAGTTACAGCAATTTTGAGATTTCCTGAAGATATGAGAGATTTTTATAACAAACTTGAACTTCAGAGAATGGAGATACCTGGATGGGAAGAAGAAGAAGGAGAGATATGGGCTATGGGAAAAGAGGACTGGCAGCAAATTAGAAGGAAATATAGAGAGTAGAGAAGAGTGGGGGGAGTGGGAGAAGAGATATGGAGGAGGTATAGGTTGCATGCCGACGATCCCCGCAAGATGGATCAGAGCTGCGGATTGGGGAGCATAACGGATCGGACTCCGATCCATTATGCTCAATCCGCAGATCCGAACCATCCTGCGGGGATCGTCGGCATGCAACCTATACAGGGTGACACCGGACCCGCTCCACGAAAAGGTAAGTTGTAAAGAAAGCCGACGATCCCTGCACACTTGGTGACACCCCCCGGCGATCCCTGCAGAATGGATCGGATCTGCGGATTGGGGAGCATAATGGATCGGAGTCCGATCCATCATGCCCAATCTGCAGATCTGATCTATTCTGCAGGGATCGTCGGAGGGGGTGTCACCAAGTGTTAATGCACTGGGTCAGGGGCGGACTGACCATTTGGAAACTCGGGCACTACCCGAGGGCCCGGGGTCAGTAGGGGGCCCCATGAGATTCCCCTGGTACCTTTTTCATAGGCTTTTTTGAGTTTGGGCAAGGACACAGGGGCCCCATGATCCCCTATTGCCCGGGGGCCCCATGAGTTGTCAGTCCGCCCCTGCACTGGGTGACACCAACCCTAAGGACGCCCCTGCTCCTGCCCAGACAGGGTTGTGCTGTGTGGCAGAACTGTGTAAATCTTAGGAGTGGATGGAGAGAAATACAAATTCTTTGGCAGGTAAAACATGTATTTTATGTGTGTGTTTAGCAGTTTGCCTGAACTTCAGCTTTAAAAAAGGTCCATCCCGAGAGAAATACAGGGGCTTCTATTACAACTTTGCCTTCTGAAAATGCTGCTTTCCTGGCTGCTTTCATTACGCACTGAATAAGTACACAGATCCAGAAAAGTCAGAGAATTCATCAGCCTTTGCCTTTGCGTTGAATCCAGAAGTGCAAAGTGACAGTCAGGTAACCAGCATCTTCAGAGGGAGAGGTCAGCAATGACAGCCTTCATACTTACTGCTCTCGTGAAAGGTTTCCACAACTCTATAGAACATAACATAACTGGGTGCAGTGTCACTCAGCGGGCATTAGTGAAAATCCCAGATATCATATTTAATCTAAAATCTCATGATTAGCTGCTGGAACGGTACTGAGGCTCCAGATTTATGAACTGTGAAAGGTCAGAGATTTACCATTTCTGAAACCGTGAAATGTTGCTTAGACCAAAATAAAGAAGAATGGCTGGATGTTCAGTCAGATTTGGTCGGTTTGGTACGATCCCCACTACAACAGAGCAGGATGAGATGGTCTATGACCCAACAACTTTTGTGCTGCTTTTGCAGATCTGGTCAGAAGGTGATTTTTGTGTCTTTATATCTTCATAGAGATAGAGCTGTTTCAATCATTTTTTTAATTTGGTTGACCAGTGAAGAACGTGATACATAGCTATAGGAGAATATGTATTACAGTACATGCAATACTAAAGAAATAAACAGCAGTTACAGTTGCTGATAACATTAGCTGGAAGACCCCAAGACATTAGCCATGAGGTAAGCATAGACAACATGGCGGGTTAACCCAAGTGTATAATTCTAAGCTCCATTAGATGAGCCAGGGTTAGCCACTGTGTGCCTACATAGATACAACTATCCGACTCAATGATATCCATAAGATCGGGGGATCACCCCATCCTCACGGCATAATGGTATCACTTGTGTTGAACCAATGTGTGAACGGCAGAAGAGACCAAAGTCTCAACAATGGAAACCAGCATACTTCATGTTTCAATAATTTTTATTGAAGTTTTTTTAGTAACATAACAAGGTAAGGATGTATGGTTCATCAGTAGATATAATAATACAATATAATATCGAGTATTTATCCCACCATTTGGCTGGGGTTGATAATGGTGTGCAAAGCATTAACATTAGAGGTATTCTTGGATATGTGGTGAACCGTGGTGAGGTGTATGGGGTGCTGGGGTATTAAACAGGTAGGGAGGGTAGAAAGGGAAAGGGTAAGTGTAACGGGGTGGAAAAAGGAATACCAGTCAAGGTTTGGTTGACAATTTAGATTGAATTTAGATTATCAGTCTTGTACAGAGCAATTTGGATTTTGTAGCCAGCGAGACCATTGGGGTTTGAATTTGTGTTGGGTGGAGTTGGTAAGGGCGGATCTTTTTTCCATTTCACATTGGAAGTTAAGATCCGTAATCAGTGATGTGAGGAAAGGAGCATTGGTAGTGTTCCATAATCTGGTGATATTGATTTTGGCCGCAGAGAGTGTATGGAGGGTAATAGTACGAGAGTTATGGGGAAATTTTTCAATCCCAATGTGTAGGAGTGCAAGTGAGGAATTTGGGGTTAGACACTGTTCCAAAAGGATCTAATTGATTTACAGGACCATAGTATATGTAATGTTGTGCCTGTTTCACCGCAATGTCGCCAGCAAGAAGAGGGGTGTTTTGGGTAGTAAATAGATAGTCTAAAAGGAGTTAGATACCATTGGTGAAGGATTTTTAAGTAGGATTGGAAACCAGCATACTTTAAACATAGAAAAAAATTAGTAGGGAATGGAGATGAAGAAAAGTTGAGAAAAAGAAAGAGGAAGATAACAAAAGTATAAAGATACATCCATCCTGTATGGATTAGCCAACGATAACAGGTCTTGGAGCCACCTCTAGGCGTTCTGAACCTGTAGATAAGAGAGCCAAGGGTTCCACACCTTTTCAAAGATAGTTTGTTTATCCCGGAGAACACCCACAATTTTTTCATTGAGCTTGAAACACGTTGTAGAGATAGAGCTGTATGATATTTCTGACTCTTCTGTTTAGACTACAAAAGCTTTCCTAAGCCTATCACAAATCTGGGCAATTCCAACTGAGCCTATGATGAAAAAATACTTAAGCAGATTCCAAGATAGAGCTGAAGTATATGAAAATCTGCACTTTCCCTGAAAAAGCCAAACTTGACTCAATCACCTCCCTCCACCTCACAGTTGGTCCTTTAAAGCAGAACTCCACTTTATTAGTTTTTGGTTTTTCTTTTCAATTCTCCCTTCCTCTGGGTCTTCAAAAAATATAAAATGATTGTAGTATTCACTCTCTACAGGCTTCATCACTGCCGTCCATGTTCTCCCCTGCCAGCTCGTTGTCACCCAACCTGCATCATTTAATCTCTTCCTGTGAGTCTAGGTTGTCATGGACACGCCTCCTGGGGATGCATCATCACAACAGCCTGGGCTCATGGTATCGCCGCGCTGTCATAACGTGAACACCCTTCAGTATTGCAACAAGGACTGAGGCAGGCCATACATTAACCTTCTTTCCTTCAACTATGGGTTAAAGGAAAGAAAATTCCTTGATTTCCCCATCAACTCAGTCAGTGTTGTTGGGGGAATCCCTCCCACAGAGCTATTGTATTCTGACAGAGGCAGGTTTCCCCAACATCAGAATACAAGGATCACTGCTGCCGGCTGTAGCCACTGGCAGTGATCGTACTGAAGTTGATCACTAGATTGACTTCAGCACAACTAGCCTGCCAATATATGGATGGAACTTCATCTGGTCCCTGCTGAGCAAGGGTGGGTCGAACATTTCTGGGTCGGTTTGAGGCACAGTCTCAGAACATGACAAAAGTTTGGGTGGTGAATCTGAACCCAGTTGAAGTCAATGGGAGCTGAAACAATAATAATCATTTTTTAGGCTACTAGGCAAGGGATTGTAAAATTGTAAAATTTGCTGATACTCTGATGTGCATTGTAATGCGTTGTAATGCAGTGCTCTGCATAAAAATGCAGACAGACCAATGCACCTGTATAGTGTGAACATGGTACATAGAAAACAATTGTCCTTGCATTGATTAATGCTGATCAATGAAGCTCAACCCACCTGGCTTGAACAAGCCTTAAAATGATATTTTATGGATAGTACAGGACAGCTAGAACCTGTAGCAATGCTAGTTCCAGTGTCCTGGCACCCGAAAGATGTAGGTTGGATGTAAAATCTAATAACGGAGCAGTTAAGATATATGTGGCAGGGTTGGATAATATCAAGTGTTAGGGCAGGTTTAGTGTTAAAGGTTAATTTCACAGCTAGATTAGGAGAGAGGAAGAGCGTCAGGAGTGACATAAATAAGTGTTAAATTATAACTGAACTCTGTTCCAGTCCAAGTGCATCAAAACATACACTATATTGCCAAAAGTATTGGGCCAGCCCTCCAAATCATTGGATTCAGGTGTTCCAATCACCTCCATGGCCACAGGTGTATAAAATCATCACCTAGGCATGCAGACTGCTTCTACAAACATTGGTGAAAGAATGGGTCGCTCTCAGGAGCTCAGTGGATTCAAGTATGGTACCATGATAGGTTGCCACCTGTGCAATAAGTCCATCCGTGACATTTCCTGTCTACTAAATATTCCACGCTCAACTGTTAGTGGGATTATAACAAAGTGGAAGCAACTGGGAACAACAGCAACTCAGCCGTAAAATGACAGAGCGGGGTCAGCGCATGCTGAAGTGCACAGTGCACAGAAGTCGCCAACTGTCTGCAGAGTCAATAGCTAAAGACCTCCAAACTTGGCCTTCAGATTAGCACAACAACGATGTGTAGAGAGCTTCATAGAATGGGTTTCCATGGCCAAGCAGCTGCATCCAAGCCTTACATCACCAGGTGCAATGCAAAGCATCGGATGCCGTGGTGTAAAGCACGCCGCCAAGGGACTCTAGAGCAGTGGAGACATGTTCTCTGGAGTGATCAATCACGCTTTTCTATCTGGCAATTGAATGGACCTGTCTGGGTTTGGGGGTTGCCAGGAGAACGGTACTTGCCTGACTGCATTGTGCCAAGTGTAAAGTTTGGTGGAGGGGGGATTATAGTGTGGGGTTGTTTTTCAGGTGTTGGGCTTGGCCCCCTAGTTCCAGTGAAGGTGTCAGCATACCAAGACATTTTGGGCAATTTCATGCTCCCAACTTTGTGGGAACAGTTTGGGGATGGCCCCTTCCTGTTCCAACATGACTGCGCACCAGTGCACAAAGCAAGGTCCATAAAGACATGGATGAGCCAGTTTGGGGTGGAGGAACTTGACTGGCCTGCACAGAGTCCTGACCTCAACCTGACAGAACACCTTTGGGATGAATTAGAGCAGAGACTGTGAGCCAGGCCTTCTCATTCGACATCAGTGCCTGACCTCACAAATGCGCTTCTGGAAGAATGGTCAAACCTTCCCATAGACACCCTCCTAAACCTTGTGGACAGCCTTCCCAGAAGAGTTGAAGCTGTTATAGCTGCAAAGGGCGGGGCCAACTCAATATTGAACCCTACGGACTAAGACTGGGATGCCATTAAAGTTCATGTGCGTGTAAAGGCAGGCCGATCAATACTTTTGGCAATATAGTGTATATACTCCTTATTGATTGGAGAGCTATACAGTTGCAAGAAAAAGTATGTGAACCCCTTGGGATTACGTGGAGTTTTGCATGAATTGGGCATAAAATGTGCTCTGAACGTCCTCTAAGTCACAACAATAGAAGAACACAGTCTGCTGAACATAATACTACACAAACATTAGATGTTGCCATGGTTTAATTGCACATAACATGTAAACATTCACAGTGCAGGGAGGAAAAAGAATGTGAGGCCCTAGCTTAATGACTTCTCCCAGAGCTAATTGGAGCCAGAAGGGAGCCAACCTTGACTCCAATCAGTGTGATGATATTGGATGTGTTGCTGACAGCTGCCCTGCCCTTAAAAAACACACACCTGTTTTGGGTTTACTGGTTTCAAGAAGCACTGTCTGATGTGAACCATGCCTCACGCAGAAAAGAGCTCTCAGAAGACCTACGATCAAGAATTGTTGACTTGCATGAAGCTGGAAAGGGTTACAAAAGTATCTCCAAAAGCCTTGATGTTCACGTGTCCACGGTAAGACAGACTGTCTACAAATGGAGAAAGTTTAGCACTGTTGCTACTCTCCCTAGTCGTGGTCGTCCTGTAAAAATGACTGCAAGAGCACAGCGCAGAATGCTGCATGAGGTAAAGAAGAATCCCAGAGTGTCCGCTAAAGACCTACAGAAATCTCTGGCACATGCTAACATTTTTGTTGACACATCTACAATAAGGAAAACATTAAACAAGAATGGAGTACATAGGGGGACACCACGGAGGAAGCCATTGCTGTCCAAAAATAATATTGCAGCACGTTTGAAGTTTGCAAAAGAGCACCTGGATGTTCCACAGCACTACTGGCAAAATATACTGTGGACAGATGAAACCAAGATTGAGTTGTTTGGGAAGAACACACAACACTATGTGTGGAGAAAAAAAAGGCACAGCACACCAACATCAAAACCTCATCCCCACTGTAAAACATGGCGGAGGGAGCATCATGGTTTGGGGCTGCTTTGCTGCCTTAGGGCCTGGACGGATTGTTGTCATTGATGGGAAAATGAATTCCAGAGTTTATCAAGACATTTTGCAGGAAAACGTACGACCATCTGTCCGCCAACTGAAGCTCCGCAGAGGATGGGTGATGCAACAGGACAATGACCCAAAGCATACAAGTAATTCAACAAAACAATGGCTGCAACAGCACAGAATACGCCTTCTGGAGTGGCCCAGTCAAGAGTCCTGACCTCAACCCGATTGAAATGCTGTGGCAGGACCTTAAGAGAACGATTCACACCAGACATCCCAAGAATATTGCTACACTGAAACAGTTTTGTGAAGAGGAGTGGTCCAAAATTACTCCAGATCGTTGTGCAGGTCTGATCTGCAACTACAGGAAACGTTTGGTTGAGGTTATTGCTGCCAAAGGAGGGTCAACCAGTTATTAAGTCCAAAGGTTCACATACTTTTTCCTCCCTGCACTGTGAATGTTTACATGTTATGTGCAATTAAACCATGGCAACATCTAATGTTTGTGTAGTATTATGTTCAGCAGACTGTGTTCTTTTATTGTTGTGACTTAGATGACGTTCAGAGCACATTTTATGCCCAATTCATGCAAAACTCCACGTAATCACAAGGGGTTCACATACTTTTTCTTGCAACTGTAGCTTTGACTCAGCACAGGGTGTCTCTGACCTCTGCAGGGAGATCATTGCTTCTACACAGAGAGTAAGGGTCCTTCTCTGCAGCATGCTGGCAGGGGATGGGCTTTTCTACTCAGGCTGCAGGAAAAACTGTGGGATTCTGAACACCTTTTGTGCTGATGTACCTGGAATGGCATCGATCCAATGATGCATCTGTCCCCTGCTGGCTTTAAGGGTGAGAAGTGAGCGATCAAACACTGCTGTTCGCTTAGTTCTCCCTGCCCCTCTGAGCAGAGAGAGGTGACTGTCAGTCACTGCTGTCTGCTCCCCCCCCCCAGCACTCACTGCCGTGCTGGGCTGTGGGGGGGGGGGGGGAGAGGCTGGCCCAGGCTCTCAGCACCTCCTGCTTAGGTGCACCCCATAGCAAGCTGCTTGCTCTGGGGGCACTCTGCAGGAAGGATGGGCCAATGGCTCCCGCTGCTATCTGAGCAAATGAGAAGGAGAGTACCTGGAGAGCCGGGGCTCTCATGCACATCGTTGTATCACAATGGGGCTCAGGTAAGTATTGGAGGGGGGCTGTTGCACACAGAAGGTCTTTTACCTTCATCCATAGAAAAAAACTTTGAGCCTTCATAACCACTTTAAGAGCCTGAGTATAAAATGTATTCAATTTCCTACCAAGCCATATATTTTCTAAAAAATATCACTGTAAATGTAGCAAAGCAAGGCTGTGAGATCAAAAACGTTAGATCAAAGAAACCAACGAACAAGAAATGATGTGACCAGAAAGGTCTATTAAGCTCCCAGTCATAGGTTACTAAATATTTTCTGGTTGCTATGGGTTGTTGCACATTGGTTTACTGGAGAAGCCTGTCACTGTCTTGGCTTGCCCGGCAGGACATGGACGAGGTTGATAAACAACTGCCAGACAGATAAAAGATTTTCCCTGCGACAGAAAACAGCAGCAGAGCTGTTCGGTATTTGATCATGACTCGAGTCATGTCTGCTGCTCTTCTGTACCATGAATCCATAAACAATCTGATCTTTTTTTATGCAAATACCGAATTTAATCATCACGCGGTGAGTCTTGGAAGCCTCAGTGCAGAGCTGCAAAAAAGGCAGAACCAGACTGAGGTTAATATGGCAGAAAGGAAGCATCGCTGTGGAACAAGATAGACGGGGATGGAGGTCCAAAGAATGAAGAAATCGTGTTGCCAGTATTTATGAAGGGCAAGAAGCAGCCATGTCCTCCCTCCTTCGATCTGGCTGCCTGCCAGGGCCACATGCAACATTTTGCAGATCACATGCCACCCTTGTGTAAACGCTGAATGGCAACATGTCTGTCACCCAATAATAACATGCTTGTGTGAGCAGGGAACGTGGTTGGGGGGATTTTGGTACTTTTATTGAAGAAAAGGGGAACATTTCTGACAATGTTCATCTTAAAAAAGTGTCCCCTGAACTCAAAAAATACTCCAATCATCTGGCTTTGGCATTAACTTTCACTCCTTTCTCAACCATGGTTCTGTGGAAGCCTGGAGTTCCTTCAGAAGTTACTAGGGGTTCCTCGAGAAAAGAGATTAGTCTCTGTGCTTACACTGACCATCAATGTAGGGGATTGCTTCTACACCGACCATCAATGTAGGGGATCGCTTCTACACCATCAATGTAAGGGGTCACTTCTACACCGACCATCAATGTAGGGGATCACTTCTACACCGACCATCAATGTAGGGGATCGCTTCTACACCGACCATCAATGTAAGGGGTCACTTCTACACCGATCATCAATGTAGTGGGTCGCTTCTACACTGACCATCAATGTAAGGGGTCACTTCTACACCGATCATCAATGTAGGGGATTGCTTCTACAGTGACCATCAATGTAAGGAGGTCACTTCTACACTGACCATCAATGTAGGGGGGTTGCTTCTTCAGTGACCATCAATGTAAGGAGGTCACTTCTACACCGATCATCAATGTAGGGGGGTTGCTTCTACACTGACCATCAATGTAAGGAGGTCACTTCTACACTGACCATCAATGTAGGGGGGTCGCTTCTACACTGACCATCAATGTAAGGAGGTCACTTCTACACTGACCATCAATGTAGGGGGGTTGCTTCTACACTGACCATCAATGTAGGGGGTCATTTTTACACTGACCATCAATGTAAGGAGGTCACTTCTACAGTGACCGTCAATGTAAGGAGGTCACTTCTACACCGATCATCAATGTAGGGGGGGGTCGCTTCTACACTGACCATCAATGTAAGGAGGTCACTTCTACACTGACCATCAATGTAGGGGGGTCGCTTCTACACTGACCATCAATGTAGGGGGTCACTTTTACACCGATTATCAATGTAGGGGGTCGCTTCTACACTGACCATCAATGTAGGGGGTCACTTCTACACTGACCATCAGTATAAGAGGTACATCTACAATTGCCACCAACAGTAAAGGCTTACTTCTTTGCTGACCACCAATGTAAGGGCCATTGGCCATCAATATCAGGGCTTCCTATACTAACCACCAATGTTAGAGGTTACTTCTACAATGACTACAAATGTAAGGGATCATTTCTATATTGACCACCAATGTAAGATCTTGCTTCTAAACTGACCATGAATGTAAGGGGCCACTTCTATATTGGCCATCATCACAAGGGCTTCCTTCTACACTAACCACCAATTTTAGAGGTTACTTTTACGATGACTACAAATGTAAGGGGACATTTCTACACTGACCTCCAGTGCAAAGTCTCATTTCTACACTGACCACCAATGTAAGGGATCACTTCTACACTGACCATCAATGTAAGGTATCACTTCTACACTGACCATCAATGTAAGAGGTCACTTTTACACTGACTACCAATATAATGGGGTCATTTT